TTTAGAGCACTTTCGTTTTAAAGCGCGAGTTAGCATACTTGATTTGTCATTAAAATGCAAAACGCCTGCCATCACCAACATAGCCCGGGTGAACACATACCCCCTCAGATACTCACAGACACACACATACTGTACACTACACACACATACACAGGTAGCTGAGGTTAATCTGCAATGCAAAAGTACAATATGGACCCCTCTTTCTTAATGGCAGGCTGAATTTCGACTTAAAAGTCTAGAGCAGGGGTCTCAAACTCAAGGCCCGGGGGCCAAATCCGGCCCGCGACTTCATTTTATGTGGCCCCGCAAGAGCTTGCAAAGAATATAATACGTTTATTATACGGTTACATGCCACTTTACAGAAGCAGGTTGCCCATAAACTACATTTCCCACAATGCATCTCGTTTTGTGACATGCGCACTGAAGAGACTTGCAATTATTTGCCCTGGACTTCTGCTTTCAGACGTAGTTAATTACTAAGTTATTATCCTATCCGATAATAATCCAATTCAGAGGCAATAATGTAATATAATACATTATTTTATATATATATTATATATTTATATAGTTACAACCGGCCCTTTGAGTGCAACCTTTATGCGAATATGGCCCGCGATGAAATTGAGTTTGACACCCCTGGTCTAGAGTCAGGAGTTCATCTGCTACACATTATTCTGGGTATAAATAAATTAAGCTTATTTGTGGTCGGAAAATTAAAGACAGCTGCTTTGCTCCAATTGTATATCTACTTGGCGAACAGATAAAAAGACAACATGGCAAGATCAGGATGGGATGCATGCTAATTGAGGCTTGGCATTAAACGCATTATTTATGTTGCTAACAGGGTGTGTTAAATGTCCTTGTCTAACTGTAGACAGTATACAGGTCAACCTCTTCAATTGATGAAGGAGAGAGTCAAGTACCAGTGCTACAGGTTAACTGGATTCCCTGTAAACAAATGGTAAATTTCCTCCGAATGCATCCGTGGTTGCTTTAAGTGTGTGCATTAAGATTTCAGAGCATATTCATCTACACTTTATTGGAGTCTTAACCTATGGTGAAACTGCAATGCCACTAAGAATTACTCAATCGCATGCAGCCATTGACAAGACAATAATATTGTTGAATAAAACCTCTCTGAAAGGGTCGCAACAAAGTGAATATGCTAAAAGTGGTCATTATGTTAAGGCTTTTATTGTAATAGTTTGTACAGATGTTCCTATTTTGGTGTACATTTCTAAGCACTTGAATGTAATCAAGTCCTGCTGTAGATAGCAATTGTTTGACAGATTAGATCAACTGGAATGATCAACATTATGATCAACTAAAGCAAATATTTGACAGTTGCGAGCAACATTTTACATTCAATTTACAGTAATAGCCATCACATGTGGTGAGAGGACAAGTGATGGGCAGATATAACTGGCGAAAACAAATCTAAGATCACTTTCAGGTTAAGTCTAAGGTTGTGCAAGAGCTGCCATTGCATAAATGTGATTTGTTTATTAGATGCCATGTCAGAACTGTGACGACCTTTATCCTCAGGTCTAATAACATTAGGTTTCATCCTGTGACTCACCGACATGTGTCCTCCTCAAACCTCATGTGTCCAGGGCAGCAGCACTGCAAGTAACAGATGCAGGCACCCAAAGTGCACCCGAGTCACAGCGAGGGATCATGTCAAGACAGCACATGCCCACTCTGCATTGTGTACACACCTGACCTGGAACAAAGTGGACGACACAATACTATCCAAGCCCGTCCCGAGACAGAAATCTCACCGTGAGCCACACTTCTCAACACATTGATGAGACAGGCTGACAGTGCAGCACACAGAGCGAGAGGTGTGGGTGTGACAGCCTGCTACCATAATTTCATCCTGCCATTACCTGCCCAGCCACTCACAGTTATGCTCACAGAGACAGATGCACAAACACTGCATGCAAGCAAACATGGGCAAGCATACACACAAACATAAACATATGTGCAACACGCACACAAACACACAGTAAAGGTGCCAGTACATTTCTTCTCATTGTGGCTCATTGTCAGGTGGCTGGATGAGTGTTGTCAATTGAGCTGACAGAAATAAGCACATTAGCTACAACAAACTCTGGCAATGCCTCGCTCTCAATTTGAGTTGAGCAGCATGAAGAAGTACATGATGCTGAAGGCAGACCACAGAGTCTCAACAACATGTGCATCTGTTTGCATCTGGTTGCTAGAGCTGACACTGAAACAAGGTAATAGTGTCAATACAAACATTTCTCAACTATCTGACATGCATGTCATAGATTCCTGAAAGTTGAAGCTAGGGAAAAAATGGTTACATAATATTGTGTTACAAAATTAAATACAATCTGTAATTATGGACAATGTCATATGGCGATGAGGCTTAGCTTGAATGTTGTCCTTTTTTAAGGAAGCATGATCAGTATGTAGCTATAATGGCTTAAAGATATGTGAGAATCTAATGTACTATACACAAGAACAAAAAAAGAATCACACTTCCTAATATATGGAAGGTTCATTTCTATTCTACAAGGGGGAAGTGTGCCTTTACATTTATTAAAGCCATAAGAAGCTGTGTGTGCTGACATTTATAGTTTAACTATTTATATCAATATAGTTTGCCAAATAATAGTGTAGTTTTTGATTTTGTCCTCACCACAAACTGAAAAGGTTTGCAGGTGCAGAAATGCGTTACATTTTTGTGGAACGTTTTTCACCAATAAGCTGTGAGTCTGGGGCCCCTGTCTATTAGATGCATTCTTATGGGGATCAAACTACTGAGTGGGTGGCTATGCCTTAGTTAGCATACAACTGTATCACATGTTGAGCTGCTTATTAAATTTCACAGCTCGACCCACCCGTGACCTCCCAATGTTGTCATGTGATCACCCACAGACACCAATAGTGACAGAACAAGTTTAAGAAACAATAGTGGATATATATATACATTTGTAATGGGAGTGTGTGTTTGGTGCCAAGGTTTTCATAGCAGGTTAGACATTTATATTTTATAGCTATGGATAGAGATAAAGAGATCATGCTGTGCTTATGATGAGCCATTTAAACCTACTGTATATAGGAGAATAATATGAAGCCCTATGTAAGAGATCATTTTGCCCACAAGCAGCCATCAATCAATATTCCACTGATATGAGCCCCAAAAGGTTTGAGCACCACTTCATTGCTTCTGCACCGCTTCTCTGCCCATACCACCCTTTGAAGTTTAGTAATGATATCTGACATCTGAGATTAGGCAAACTGAAATTATTAATGAATTAATAATATCTGAGTCATAAATATTTGATTATGAACATCACGTCCTTAATGTGACGGTTTCAAAGGCGAGAAACATAATGCCAGCCTTGATCTCACTGAAAGCTACACACAAAAGGGTTGTTTCAGTCGGATTTCATAAAGACATAAGATCGTTTCTTCTGAGGTAACGCCAAGACATCTACTGTTTGTCACAAGGAAGTCACGATCTGATGGCTATCATAATCTTTTAAAGGAAAGGTTATTCAAAAGTCCAGTCACTACAAGTTGACAATGACATATACAACAAGTGTGTCGGAGGGCAGCATGACTAATCAAATATAAAACTCATGATTGAACATCATCTCTCTTACTGATGGTAGTTTGATTATAACACTGTCACTCTACCCAACTTTCATCAGGTATTTGAACAAGCATTACAACAGTTCCTTATACTGTAAATAAATGTAACATTTGCTAATATTGTTGTGGTGCCATACAAATGACAAAGTTCATTTGGACCACAACATTGGTCAATGTTGTAAATATACCTGCAAGAATCTGGACGTATAACAAGTTTAAGAACAAACATACTGTATTATACAAACTGTTATTGGTTTAAGCTATTCCCATCTGTTAGTTATGATGTCATTTAACTTAATAGCCTCATAGCCGATTGTAAACAAGGTAACACTGCTAGAAAGTACAGAAACAAACGCTAACCCAATTTGACCCAGTGTTGTACACTAAAGAGACAGGCGAAGTCAAATATCAAACAATGTTATTCATCAATTCTGTTGAATTCTTCTATCACCTTTTCAACTAATTTCTTACCATATTTAAAACAACACATGCAATTAGATTTTTCTGTATATTGAGGATCCTTTTAACAAGGGCAGCCGCCATACTTAACTATCCTTATAGTAGTCTTCATAGACACTACCTTCTGTAAAGGTGAACCGCATACATGCTAAACTGTGTGAACTCATAAATACAGTACATTTTAGGTCAGTAGGTCTCAGGTTGTATGTGTCAAAATCAAAAGAATATGTTTCAAAGGCTGTCTCTATGTCACACAGCTACTGTATACACATTCAAAGGATCTTGCTCAAAGGCACTTAAAGAGCTGACCCATAACAGATTTTTGCAGCCCGCCAGAACACTGTGTGTAGTGCATCAGTACTGCAATGATTATGCAGTATGATGCAATTTGAATCAGTTATATTGAGGACTACACACGTCAAGCACTGCCTCAAAACAAAAGACTTCAACAAAAAAGTGCCTCTTTTGAGACGGCTTCATGTGCCTGACAGTCATGAAAAGGGTTCAGAGACAAGAGCACCTTATAACCATCATCTCCTTTCTTTTACTTGCCAGATCAACTGTGCTAGTCCTGCTGTTGAAATGGCAGCCCCCTCTGAAGCAGCTGCCATGAGGTGTTCCTTCATGTCCTGACAGAGGAATCTTTTCTTCTATTTGCCCCCGAATTAGCATGTCACATTAATCGATCACGCCTTTTATCCTGCCCCAGCGTGGCACCAGCCCAGCAATAACACTCATTCAGCTCTTTGATGTCATGATGACACTCTGACCACCTATAGACCCACAGCACACATTCAATTTCTCCTGATGTAGAGATGCATGTCTACCAGCTACAAACTGAGAGAGACAGACAGACAGACAGACAGACAGACAGCATGTGCATCCAAGAGTACACCTTAGCATCTGTCATCTACCTGAGCTGGTTGAAGCTTAGATCCAATCTTCTTGCAAACAGGCCATATGTGTCCCCAAGAAAGTCTGGGATGTCCTTGCAGTCATGTCCGATGTAGGAAATCTTTAAAAGTAAAAAAAAGAGAGAGAAGTAGCAATAATACAAACACACCCCTGACATGCTAAATGGTACTGTTCATACAGAACATGTATAACAATATGAATGATATAGAATGATAAAGAATCATCAGTGAACCACACAGTGAGGATGAAGGCTAGGTGCAGAAGTGTGTACTTCAGCCATGCTATTCATGTTGCAAAATAATACTTTTCCAAAACCTTTCAAATGATCATTGTACAGTCTGCAAAACACTTCAATATTTTATTAAGTTGCATGTTATTGCTGCATATTGGAGGCATTATGCTCTCCAGAGAAATTGTAGGAGGATCTGTTAAACTGAAAGTCACTGTAACGTTAGCTACAGTGTGTCGGTGTGTCACATGACACCGGTCATATAGGAAATAAACAAATCCCCGTATACATTCAGCACTGGTAATCTCCACTTTTTAAACGATCACTGATAACGTAAGCCTGAGTAAAGCAATAGGGGCGAAGTCCGACAGAAACATTTCCCAAAACAAACTTACTTGAGTCCCATTCAAAGCGACCAACGACTCGTTATGTGCCATAACTTTCTCCTGAGGATGACAGATCGGTTTCTGTGTTTTCAGGATACGCTATCTGAGTTGATATCCAAAGTTCTGCTCAGAAACCCGCTGCTGTCAACATAAAATAATGCCTATGTGTGGTTTTAGCCCGGCTACTTTGGAGAGCTACTGCCGCTTTCAAAATTGACTTTACAGTTTCCGCGTGCCGTTTGAATCAGCTGACCCACTGTTTTGCGGAAGCACGCGGACACAGTGTTTGTTAGGGGTAGAATATGAGTGCTGCTGAATGCCTCTGGATGAATAGACAGTAGCCTGCAAGCATTAGCTTTACTTGCATTTGAGAAACACGTATGGTTTAAATTAAAATACCTTCACATTTTAAAGAAGACAAATGTGTTTTTTTATAACAAACTCTTAACAGCCAGGTAGACTATAAGCACCTGATAAACTGCAGGAATAGCCTGCATGTTTTCAAGTGACTATACAAAGTAGCCTAGCAAGAGAAGTTGTAAATATCTTCTATATCATGGTTCAAGAATCCATTTAACTGAATGTAATGCCTTAATTTTGGGTCTTTTTTTTCCAGCCCACTATCACAATTTTGCTGAATTTGCCTGGGACTTTACAATCTGTACAGCAACAACACCCTCATTGAGTGTCGCCAAACAGCTAAAGCAGAGGTGTGTTAGGCTAGTACTACTTTCGCACTGTTAGGAGTGGGATTTACAGTAGCCTACCTGAGATGCAATAACAGGGGCGGACTGGCCATCGGGACGAATCCCGATGGGCCGGTGTTGTGTCAAATGATGCACCCCCATCATGAAATGCCCCCCTTGTCACGGGAACGCGCATTTCTAAATGACACGTTTACACCTTAAAATGATGTTTAAAACGAAAAGTAAACGTTCAGGGTTTTTATTAATGGTAATTTTCAGACTGTGAGTTGTTTAGTGGTAGCTCATATAGTCTTGATTCTTGTGGTTAAACTTTTCGCTCCGTATTTGATGGCAGTGGTGTCGAAATTCATTCGTCACTTCCTTTTCAGTTTTTGTTTTTTATTATTGTTACGTCCTGTCTGTATACACGTGCTTTAAAATGTATTGTTTAATTTTACATATTTGTCATATAATAATCAAAATATATGTTTACAAATGTTACATAGTCTTTGTCAGCATTTTTTTGCCACGTTATGCACCCCTTGCTATCTTACATAATAACACTGTCACATTCATGAAACTTGCTCCATTTATTGGTAGGCTACTAGTCCTACAACTATACCCTAAAAAATGCTTGAGGGTGGGATTAATACAAACATATTTTTGGGTGGGGTGCATTTTATGACAGGCCTGGTTATCACAAGATGCCCCCCCTTGCTATCTTACAAAATAAAAGTGTCACATTCATGAAACTTGCTACATGTATTGGTACTAGTCCTACAACTATACCCTGAACAATGCTTGAGGGTGGGATTAATACAAACATCTTTTTGGGTGGGGTGCATTTTATGACAGGCCTGGTTATCACAATATGCCCCCCCTTGTTATCTTACAAAATAAAAGTGTCACATTCATGACACTTGCTCCATTTATTGGTACTAGTCCTACAACTATACCCTGAAAAATGCTTGAGGGTGGGATTAATACAAACATCTTTTTGGGTGGGGTGCATTTTATGACAGGCCTGGTTATCACAATATGCCCCCCCTTAATAGCTTACAAAATAAAAGGGTCACACATGAAACTTGCTCCATTTATTGGTACTAGTCCTACAACTATACCCTGAAAAATGCTTGAGGGTGGGATTAATACAAACATCTTTTTGGGTGGGGTGCATTTTATGACAGGCCTGGTTATCACAATATGCCCCCCCCTTGTTATCTTACAAAATAAAAGTGTCACATTCATGACACTTGCTCCATTTATTGGTACTAGTCCTACAAATATACCCTGAAAAATGCTTGAGGGTGGGATTAATACAAACATCTTTTTGGGTGGGGTGCATTTTATGACTGGCCGGGTTATCACAATTCCCCCCCCCCCCCTTGCTATCTTACAAAATAAAAGTGTCACATTCATGACACTTGCTCCATTTATTGGTACTAGTCCTACAACTATACTCTGATACAATAAACAATAAATGGAGCAAGTTTCATGAATGTGACAGTGTTATTATGTAAGATAGCAAGGGGTGCATAACGTGGCAAAAAAATGCTGACAAAGACTATGTAACATTTGTAAACATATATTTTGATTATTATATGACAAATATGTAAAATTAAACAATACATTTTAAAGCACGTGTATACAGACAGGACGTAACAATAATAAAAATAAAAAGATTAAAAAAAACAAAAACTGAAAAGGAAGGGACGAATGAATTTCGACACCACTACCATCAAATACGGAGCGAAAAGTTTAACCACAAGAATCAAGACTATATGAGCTACCACTAAACAACTCACAGTCTGAAAATTACCATTAATAAAAACCCTGAACGTTTACTTTTCGTTTTAAACATCGTTTTAAGGTGTAAACGTGTCATTTAGAAATGCGCGTTCCCGTGACAAGGGGGGCATTTCATGATGGGGGTGCATAATTTGACACAACAGGTACTGAAGTGGGCCGGTCGGACGATGTGGGCCGGTCGGATAACTCACTATACAATTATTCTAAATGTCCTTTTATTGCCAGATTAAGGCACAGCTCTCACTGCCATATCTCAGAATCTGAGGAAATCATATAAAAGGTATATTATCACTCACCACCAGGGGTAAATAAGAAAACACGTTTGTTTGTTAGTTATAGTGCAAAGGTCAAAGACAAAACAATATGTCTGTTTCAGTGAAGACAGATGTGGAAGCAGGAGTAAAACCCACATTGTATTTGGTGACTGATTTAAAACCTATGCTCCTGTTCACCCGTCCATAGTTTTGGAGTATAATATTTGAGTTTTAATTTTCCCCAAAAGGGCCGTTTAAAATGGAACATAAAATGAAATGGCAGCATGGACAGAAGAACAATAGGGACAAAAACTCCTTCTTTGCTTGGTAGAATAAATCTGAAGGAATGATATGGGCTTCATGCTTGGCATGGCAAAAATAATGATAAGTTTAACAATATGGGCAACAGGTAGGTTTTACTTATGGTTATAGTAGATAGGCCATGGATACTACAGCAGTTAAGCTTTGCATGGTACTAACCTCTTGATTGTATTAATATTGTATAATTGTAAACTCATGTTTTAGACAGACCAACCTTGATCCTAATAACATTTTTGTTTGTGGCTTTGCTGGTTTGCAAAGTAGTGCAACAATGTGTATTAATAATGACTTTTTAAATATTGCAAAGATCTTGTGTATGTGTCTTGGTCTAGTCTAAGATTAGATTTAAAGTCACTCTGTATACATTATCCTTAACTTTTTGCATATGTGGACTATATATATATAAACACTTGTCCTGTATCGGAATCTGATAGGTTAAACATATTATTTTTTGACACACTGATTCACCAAAATATTCGTTATTCATACACTCTCACACATTACATTGTTATTTTATGATCCACTGTGCTCTGAGAGCATGTCAACATGCAAGCAGACTTTGCAACCTAAAGCAGCTAACTCACTGCTATGTTTATTTCTTGAAGCTAATAAGTAAATACTTGCTGTAGTACTCTGATGAAGTATGGGGGCATACCTGCATAATCTGAGGTACATAGTTAGTGGCACTCTGGAGAGAATCATGAAGTTTGAGAACACCATGTTGTTCCTGAGCTTCACTGCATGTTGTGTGACGTCACGTGGGACCTCCCACACGCGGAAAAACTCGCTTTCCCTCTGCAGCCTGCCGGAGAGAGAGCGCGAGGGTCTGCATGGCTCCGGTCTTGCCTTGCGCCTGCGGTGCTTCACATTTTACACCCTGTGAAAGCTGATGTGTTTGTGTAATGCCAAATTGTTTCGTTTAAAAAGAAGGACTGCGTCTTAAGTCGTTACAGTGTTATTTGTTATCCTCTTACCTGTCTACGTTTTACATCGGAGCTTAGTAGGAAATGATTCCAGGTAATGTCGTCACGGACTTTCCTGTAAACCTGTTCTTCCTCCTCGGAGTTTTACTAAAAGATGTAATACTTTATGCATGCATGTGTTTTAAAATGTTTGTATGTACCGCCTGTCTCCTATTTATTCCATGTATATGTTATCTGATATTTTAACATGTTGTGCGTCTATTAAAAAAAGTTGTTTGGTTATTGCTAGTATTTCGCCACACAGTATTTCATAGAGTGAAAACGGACTGAAACCAAAATGATAAAAATAACTTCCTTTAATTTAGAGCTTCAAAATACCCTGAGCCTGTTAAATAAAAGTACTTTGGTAAAAGTATAAATATACGTAGAATTTGAAGGTGCAATTAGGAAAGTTGTTAAATTGTGTAATTTATATTTTAAATAGCTACACAAACACTTTTCAATGTTGATTTATATAAATAAATCATGGAAATTTGCTTTTTTTGCTCCATAGCATGAAGACGGCACAGCATATAGTTAACAGTTAACCTGCAAGTCCAACATATTTCCCCACAAGATGTAAATAGTTGTATTTGCATGCAGAGAGTGATTCATAAACATGTCAGTGTTATGAAATATATAGGGATATTAAAACTTTCTATTTAAATATCATGAATTATGGTCGCAAAAATGTGTTCCCATTTAAGGGGAATGCCGAGTATTTTGGTGTCTGGTGCAGAAGCCCATTCGTCATACGGACAATAAAGAGGGTTTTCGCCTGACAGTGAAAATTTATGGTTGCCCTTCTTTGCCCTAATAACTCACATATTGTGTCACGGACTGACAGCCCTTGCAGAAAACAGCAAGCCTGTTATCAATCACACATCTTTGCATATTGTGAAACGTCCCCCCCTTTTTTTGTCAGACAACATTGAAAACATTTAAAGAAATAGAGATGAGCTCATTTAGACTTTTGCCCCATCTTACAAACTCTCACATTAAAATACATTTGCTTTTGAGCTGCTGTTTATTTATAACACAAAATGATGACCTGTTCATCATAGAACATATACTTAGGACTTGTTTTTTAAATTCATAGTTTGCAAAACTGTAGTCAGCCATGCAGACCAGTGTAGGCCTATAAGTAAAAGTCAATGTTTTTGAACTGTTAACTAAAAACATTTGTCTTATTCTTGTTTA